TTTTTTTTCATTTATTACCCTTTAAAAAAATTACTTGAGAGATAGTATGGCAATAATTGGTATATCATGACAAGCAGTGCGTATTTAGAAGACCAGAATGATAGGCATTCCAAGCATGACCCCACTATTACACATTCCTATCTTCAGTGCAGTCACTCAGTTCATGGGTATCAGCATATATAGTTAGTCAGGGTGAGAATCCTACCAACTAACTGCTAGTTTCAACAACCTGCTGATAGTTCTCAGGATCATTGCTTTACCCATCCTGTGCATATAAATGTATGGCTTTGCCCCTGTCGTGTTTCCTAACTTTTCTTCTTGCCCTCTCTTCGTTGTCTAATCCTCAAATTCTTGCTTTCTTTTTAATTGTGTTATACCTTTCTATTTGTATTTCTTCTTTTGAGTTCTTATACTAGGGAGACTATACGATATTTACACATGTGGGTCTGGTTTATTTCACTTATGAGTATACCTTCAAGTGGCATCCACTTAAATATAAATGTTTCAAGTTGGTCATTCTTTATAGCTGAGTAATACTCCATTGTATAAAAATACCACATCTTTTTGAACCATTCCTCATGTGACAGGCATCTTGGTTGTTTCCAAGATTTGGCTATCACAAATTTGCTGCTATAAACATAGATACTCGCATATCACTATGATAGGACGTTTTCAGTTCCTCTGGGAAAATTCCCAGTAGGGGGATAGCTGGCTTGAATAGGATTTCCAGTCCTAGTTTTCTAAGCAGTCTCCACACAGATTTCCATAATGGTTGCACTAGTCTACATTCCCACCAGCAATGGAGAAGTGTTCCCTTTTTCTCACATCTTCCAACACTTGTTGTTGGTTGATTTCTTTGTAATAGCCAATCTTTCTGGGGTGAGATGGTATCTCAGTGTTGTTTTAATTTGCATTTCACAGATGGCTAGTGATGGGGAGCATTTTTTCATATATTTATTCGCTTCTTTAATTTCATCCTCTTGAGAAGTATGTGTTCATCTTGGATGCCCATTTGCCAGCCCTGTATATATTTTTGAAAGTTTCAATTATTCAGTTAATGTAAACAGAATAGAATACTTTAAATAGAATATGTTTGAAATGTATATATGACATGTAATAAGGTACTTTGCAAAATTTTACATGCATGTAAAAGGCTGAATTACATAAATAATTAGTCCTCATCATTTTCATTTCACAGGAAAAATATATTGACAATGATATAGTATCGTGAGTGGTTGATTATGCTAATACATTTGGTTACAGATACCTTGGGATCAAAATGATGTTGATTTAATTCCAGATGGGATCTCTGTACCTGTGGACCAAACTAACAAGTAAGTTTGGAGAACTAGAATGTTTGCTTTGAATATACATAAAATGTTGGTACAATATATTAAAAATGTATTTTAGCTTTTAACATAATGACTTTAGGTTATCTTTTACAAAAAAAAAAAAAAGGTAAAAAAGGATTCAGGATTAACTGTTTTCACTGTCCGGTGCCATTTAAGAACTTAAGAGGACAGCTTTTTAAGAACTTTGGAGGATTCTGGGCAGCCCATGGGATCCTGGTGAATCTGGCCAGCACCCACCACCAACACTGAAGCTTTGCTGAGTATCAGCCAGTCACCAACCCCACCAGTGGTGAGTCCTGCCCTGCTCTTCACTGTAACAGAAACCTGCTGATACACACCTCACCTCTCTCCCACCACTAAGTCTGTGTGATTACTGGAAGCTTCAAAAATGCCAAAACGCAAGAGGAAAAGGCAAGCCATCAAATCAAGAAGAGCAGGGGGTGAAGTATTTCAGGTCCTGAAAGAAAATAACTACCTACCCAGACTGATGTACCCTGCAAAGCTATCTATAAAATCAGTGGTGAAATAAGATCTTTCGATGACAAAGAACAATGGAACAAATTCAGGACAGCAAACCAGCCCTACAAAGAGTACTGACAGATATTCTAAATATTTTCACTATTTAACAAGTATTTTGGAGCCCCTATTATGTATAAGAACCTATCCTAAGTACTGGAAATAGAAGAATAAAAATGATTACATCAGGAATTTAAATTTTGGGGCAATAACAAAATATGTAATAGATATTGTGAAATACAAAGTAACTGTTGAAAGGAAAATTTGAGGGGAGGAATAGGGAAAAGAGAAAAGGGATAAAATGAAAGCAAAGTGTTATAAACAGGAAGCAGAACAAGAGTTGAAAAGAGGAGAAGGGAATGAGGGAAAAGGGAACTAAGATAGATCATGTACAGGTAGAAATTCTTTGTGATGAATGTGATCATCATGAATATCTAAATTGAAGTAAGAGAGCAACCTGAGGTGACCTGTGAAAATGGTTCGCTGCTCTCTCAACCCAGAAAACCCCACAAAATCATGCAAATCAAGAAGTCCAAATCTTCACATTCACTTTAAGAACACGTGTGAAACTGCCCAAGCCATCAAGGATATGCATATCTGAAAGGCCACCAAGTATCTGAAGGATGTCACATTAAAGAAGCAATGTGTGCCATTCCGGCATCACAATGGAGGAGTTTGTCCTTGGTGATGCCCTTCTGCCATTCCACCCTGCCTTGGAGCTAGCCAACTACTGAGTTAAACCTCTACAGACTAGGAGCCATATAAACCTTTCCTCCTTTAACTTTGCGTGTTAGGTAGTTTGTCTTAGCACTGAGAAAAATAACTAATACACCTATGAACACCCTAATCACATTAAATTTCAGTCCTTTTAGTACCTCACACTGGGGTATATCACACTGGGGAACACACAAAACTATATCCAAACTATACCGCTTGCCATGAGGAAATGAAACTCGAAGGAACTTGTAGCCTGTAGTAAAAGTCAGACCTTCCAGAAGTAACTTCTGTGGAGTCACATGTAATGGAAGAAGGAGAGGAACAGAAAAGGAAGAGCCACTTCTTGTTGACACTGAAACCTGATAGGAGTGGTCAGGTGAAGAGGAAATATGGCCTACTTCAGAGAAAAGTAGCATGGTAGAGCTAAAATGAAAAAGAAAAGAGCAAGGCCAGAGAGTAAAATAGGAGGAGGAAGAGCTTGCTGAGACTGGCAGGGTCAGGTCATGGAAGAGTTTTGATCCTTTCCAGGCAGGTAAAAGCCTTTGGGCAGTTGAAAGCCTTTGAAAGATGTTAAGCAAAAGAATGACTAAAAATGGTGTGAAAGCTACATACATTCCACAGAAACTATACTCCATATTTTGAATGTTGATCTTCCCTGGGCTAGCCACGCAGGTACAATGCTGTCTTGTGATGCAGGACCAACAGCACCACGTTGCAGCCACCTGTGAGCCACAGGGTCAGGATGGGAAATGACCAGTACTCTACAGTGAACATGTACACTAAGCAAACATTTGCTCCATGGTATTTTTTAGCTCATGATGGGACTACTGGAATACACCCCAAAAGAAGTTGAGGAGCATGTGTATTCAGATTACTGTTTATAAAATCTGGTTCCAGTGAGGAAAATGAGGTGGGGGGAAGGATTGATTTTTATACTTACATTCTTATAAGTTTCCTTTTTCTAGCTGAACAAGTTTTAATATCCCTGTACCAGTTTATCTGCTATGAAGAAATTTCTAAAAACAGAAAAGTATAGATTATTTTCATCATTAGTAATGTACATCACTGGCTACTTTTTTTTTCATCCCCTCAAGGAAAGACTATGTTTCTAAGTGTATTGACTACGTTTTCAACATCTCCATCAAGGCAGTTTATGAGGAATTTCATAAAGGATTTTATAGAGTCTTTAACCAAAAGATAATTAAATGTTTCCAGCCTAAAGAACTAATGGCAGCAGTAATTGGAAGTACTAATTATGACTGGGAAGACTTTGAAAAGGTAGGCGGTTCCTAAATTGCCTCCTGTTCTTCCCAAAGACTTACCCTATGCCCCTACCCACACACCAAAACAATTTTTCTCCTTTTTCTCCAGAATTCACAGTATGAAGAAGGATACTACATATCACATCCTACTATACAGATGTTTTGGAAGGCTTTCCACAAGTTAACTTTGGATGAAAAGAAAAAATTCCTCTGTAAGTATGGCAGTGCTACATGGCTCTACAGTTATTTATCATATACAAAGGTAAATAGCTGTGAGTGATAGTCTTTCTTTATAGTAGCTCACATGTCTTAAAGGCACAACAAGAAGAAGAACCCAGGTTCGTTGCTCTCTATACCACCATTCTTTCTCTTAAGCTCATTTCCCATTTTCATAAAGTAATAACAAGCATAATGCAGTTTCACTACTGACTAATCGTAGGTCCAGTTTTTAGGTTGTCTTTTCCATATTCCACTTGGTTCCCAAAATAAACTTTATATCATGCTCTTATTTAAGAGAAATTACCCAAGTCCTTTGAGTCTTTATAATACTACACTACTTTATATAAAGTAATAGCAATGACAGATGACGAGGAGGGCGGCAGGAGCAGCAGCAGCAGCAGCAGCAGCAATTATTGTGCCTTTCCCCTATGGCCGGCACTCTACTGACCACTTTGTGTTATCATCTCCCATCACCTTCAGTAACTATCCTATGGGGTAGGTACTATTAGTTCTTCCCCTTTTAATTATAAGGAAACACAGAGTTGGGGCATTTAGTACTTTCTCATGTTCAGACACCTGGTAAGTGTAAGATCCAGAATTTGAAGCCAACAGGGTAAGTCTAAGCCTAGCTCTTAGGTTTTCTTGGTGGCAACACAGCAGTTTCTCTAAGACAGAATTAACTACCTACTTAAATTTGTCCTTACTGCATTTTCAGCTTCTTTCTCTCAGTATTGGAGATTGAATGCAGTATCAGTCTACCATTGCCTCCTCCTTGAGAGAAGGTTTTGTTAAAGTGGCCACACTGGCCTTGAAATTGTGAGCCTCCAGCCTTAGGGTCTTTATTCTTTCAGTGCTTTGTTTTAATGCTTAGTCTTTGTTTTTTTAAGAAAAGGTCTCTATTTAGTGCAAGTTTAGGATGAACATAAGATTTTCCAGCTTCACTCTCCCTAGTGCTAAGATTAAAAACTTGCACCGTACCTATCTTAGCTTTTCTTTTTAAATACATATCTTTCCATTTTTGTTGTTAGTATGTTGGAGGACAATTTAAGCTTTCAGTTTAAAAGCTAATCTTCTCTCCTCAAAAGAATAATTTTTGCTTCAACCCTTTGCTTTAATTGTCTGTACCTTCAAAGAGTTCACTTACATCTTCCAACCTCTGGTTTCTCCCCCTGCCTTGTGGCAACCTAGGCTGAAACCAACATAAGCAAAAACAAATATAATTAAGTTTATTTGGAGTTAATTCAGATGATAATCTGGGAAAATATAAGAATCAAGCAATCTTGAAAATATACTCAAATATTTTACAAAATGATGGCTGTATTTATAACTTTAAAGTGTGAGTGAGTAGGAAATTATGTCACTTGTTAGATGTTAAGGTTGAGGATGGGAAAAGTGAAGCAGTTTTGTAAGTAAGTGAAGAGGGCCAACCCCAGTTTCTGAGTAGTTTGGCAGTAGGGAGATCGCTGTAGAGATCAGCAGAGGTTAACAGTGTGCAAAGGTCAGCTCCAGGGATGGCCATGTATACAGCCCAGTTCAAAAGGTCAGCTGTGGACTGTCGCAGACCTGAGTAACAGTGGCCTCTGCACTCCAGCATAAGTACCCTGAACCAGTGCTATTATTTTGGAGGTTTTATTTGGCCGTTGAAAGCTGGCTCAACTCCTTTTCCAAGGAACAAGCTAGTGGGGCATCTGAGTCTCCCTGACTACCTCAACCTGCCCTCTTACTCCCTACTCCAAGTCTCATCCTCCAGAAAGCTCCCAACCTTCAATCTCCTAGTTGAACTAACTTAAATTTATCTTTTCATGGATGTGATTTACCTCAAATGGACCACAAATTCATGAAGGACAAAAACTGCATGTTCTGATTTTCTTATTTTCTCTTCTTTCTAATTTTCACTGTGTGTCCTGGCAGAATTCACTCTACACAAAGGTGCTCACTAGTGACTTATTAAATTAATGCTATCATTATTGTTTTTGTCTGATATATGTTAACTCAATTTTTATTCTTTTCCAGTATTTCTTACAGGGCGTGATAGATTGCATGTGAGAGGCATCCAGAATAGAGGAATACTATTCCGCTGCCCTGTAACTTTCAGTGAAAAAGATTACCCAACGTCACTGACGTGTCACAGTATTCTGTATCTGCCTCAGTATTCCACAATGGAAAGAATGGAGGACGCTCTGCATGTAGCCATCAACGGTCACAGGGGCTTTGTGTCACACGAGATCCTACTTGGATGATCACTTCCCAGGATCTCAGGGAGGCCTCTGGTGTTCAGTGTATCAGCCTTAGATTTTTCTGTTTCTGCTTGCATCTAATTAGTACAAGATGTTGACAGGTTTTAGTTACCATTTAGACTTGGCAATAATAAAGTTATACATCAAGAATAATATTTATAATGACAAAAATTATTTATAACATTTTTGTATCCCTAACCTTGTTATTAGAATGTTTTTACTGAATTATTTCCTGAACAATAATTTTCATTTAAAAATAGGCAAAATATTTAAAATATCCATGTATTTTTAAAAATAATGTTCATTCCTTTAATAAATTATATGAAGGCCAGCATTATAGCACAACAGACTAAGCACTTGCTTAGGTAAGCTCAGGAGCCAAGGTTTTATCCCTGGCACCAAATGCTGTACAAGACCCAACCCCAGGCGTGCTGAGCCTGTGATGGAGTCCGGGCATGGTGGTGCGCACCTATAATCCCAGTACTAAGGAGGCACAAATAAGGAGGATCACTACGAGTCCTAGCTGTGTAGTGAGACCCTGCACAAAAAAAACCTAAAAAAAAATCTAGTAAATTGTATATATGTCTAAAAGACATACTCAGAAAAAAGTATTTGCTAATTTGAATATTTTCATCAGTGTCAATGTATGTTATATTAAGGCATGTCTTTAGTTCTGATTTAGAAAACTGGCGTTTGAAAAATACAGATATTAAAAGATTTGATTCATTGTAAGTTACATATAATTGATATTTGGTGCTAAGAACCGTTATAAATGCAAATGCCTTTATTTTGGTTAAATACTGAATCCAAGGCTATTTACTTGCAGTTGGAAACATGTTGAAATATTGTTATCTTGTCTTATAGTCTTACTATCTTGGCAATAGAGCAGATTAATAGAGAAATATAATTATACCGGAAATAGGTAGTAAATTTTGTGGTCCAAATCTACCTGATGTTTTTGTTTGTTTGTGATGATAGCATCTCACCATGTTATACACATTTGTGTGGAACTCACTGTGTAGCACAGGCTGACCTCAAATTTGTGATCCTCCTGCCTCAGCCTCTTGAGTGCTGGGATTACAGGCATGGGCCACTACACCTGGATCTTATGTTAAATTTTCAGCTTCGTTATGGAGCTTTGAAAGGATTCCAAACATATACAGTAATTTTCTAAATGAGTGATATCTGTTATGAGCAGAACCTGGAGTGTAAGCACTTGCCCTGTAAAAATGTTCTTTTATACCTTAGTAGATCTCATATATGAGTTATTGACCTCAGCTCCTGGATTCAAATACATACTAAACCCGAGTTTCAGACCCTTTGACAGCTGAGGCAGTGGCAGACCAAATCCGTGTTGGTCACTTCTCCTAAGACCAAGAGCTCTGTTGTTGAATGGCCACTGTGTTAGCTTTTAAACAAAGCCCATGCCATGCAGCAGCAGCCCTGTCCTACTGTGTCTTCACTCTTCTCCACTGTATCAGTCAAACTAAGTTCCCCTGAAAACCACTCTTAGAAAGGAACACTTAAAACCTATGTTAGACTTCCCACAGAGGCCTACTTTCAGTGAAGCACCATATTTGTGGGCTCATACCTCAATTACCATATGGTTAAAGTGTCTCTATCAAGTATATATCCTGTGAACTGTTATTCTTCCCCTCTAAGTGAGGAAGAAAGTCTTTGTATATGAGGGAACCATGAGATTTGTGGAAACATACTTTGTCTCTAACCTCATTCAACCACTCAGACTTCTCATCATGTCCCACCTACCTCATTATGGAACAATAATTATCTGTCATAGTGTACTCAGAGAATAAGCGAAGGGGGACTATAAGCTGTCCTCATTTTTCTATTCTCCAGCCTAAAATAACCTTCCCCTATGAAGGGGCCATATGTAATTTTTAAATATATATTAATATATATGCATACATACACATACATGTAAGAGAATGTGGAAGCAAGGAAATAGATCTTGCAACCACCTTACCCCACCAGCTGTCCTGAGAGAGCCCCTAGCCAGGCTTACCAACAGAAAGAGAGAAAAATCAGTGCAGTTACTAGTGAAACGTGAAATCATAATGGATGCTGGAAATCAGAAGATAGTAATTAAAAAAATTATATTCAAACAATTAGTAAACTTTGAAGAAATAGGCAGATTCCTAGATAATGCAAACCACCAAAACTAACCCAAGAAGGCATAAATATGTTTAACCCAATAACAAGCAATGAAATTGATACTATAATAATTTACCAACTTAAAAAGCCTAGGGCCTGGGCTGGGAAGATAGCTCAGTGGTCTAAGCACCTACCTGGCTAGTGCAAGGAACCAGGTTTGATCCCAGGTACCAGTACTGCATGCTGTGCTGGCCACTGAAATTGGGTATGGTGGCACACACCTGTAATCCCAGCACTGGGGAGGCTAAGATGAGGATCACTGTGAGTCTGAGCTGTATAGTGAGACTCTGGTAAATAAAGTATGTTTTAATGTTTTTTTTAAAAGCCTAGGGTCTGATTCACTGTTGAATTCTAAAAAACCTATGAGGATGTAATATCACCAATATGGTTACTCAAGTTCTTCAAAAAAGTTGAAAGGGCTGGAGTGCTCCCAAACTCACTTATGGAAGCCAGTATCACCCTAATTCCAAAACTAGATAATGTCCCAACTAACAAAACTATAGGCCAGTCTCTTTAATAAACATAAATACAAAAATCCTGAATGAGATACTAGCCAATAAAATGCATTATCAAAAAGATCATACATATGGTCAAATAGGTTTCATCCATGCCAAAGATGCAAGGATATTTCAAATATATAAGTCAACAAATGTAATACATAAAGAGAAGTATAAGGTCAAAACCCATAGGATCATTTCACTTGATTCAGAAAAAGCATTTGACAAAATCCAACACCCTTTATTGATTAAAAATCCTGAAGAAAGGTATAAAAGGACCATACCTGACTATGAAAAAAAAGCATACATGACAGACCAGTAGCTAGCATCGTATTTACTAAATGCATTCCTTTAAAATCAGAAACAAGACAAGGATGTCCATTATCACCTTTCTTATACATAATACTTGAAATAGCCAGAGCAATTTGGCAAGAGAAAAGGGATACATACAGGAAAGAAAAAAACTCAAATGATAATTATTTACAGATGACATGATTCTCTACATAGAAGATCCAAAGGAATCCACCAAAAAAACTTAAGAATTAACAGATTTCAGCAATGGAAACTACAGTACACTGAAAAAGGAAATTGAAGACATCAGAAAATGGAAAGATGCCCCCTGCTTCTGGAAAAGCAGAATCAATACTGTCAAAATGGCTATATTCCTAAAACTATTATACAGATTCAGTAGAGTCACAGTCAAAATACCAGTAGCATACTTTACAAATCTAGAAAAAAAATTTAAATTTTATGAATTCAGAAAAGGCCAAGAATAGCAAAATCAATATTGGGCAACAAGAGCAAGCCAGAAGGCATACCGATACCTGCCTTCAAACTATAAAGCAATAGTTATCAAAAAAAAAAGATACATTATTGGTACAAAAGCATACATGTATCTGTGGAAAAGAATAAAAGACAGAGACTTCCCCAGGCACATTCAGCTGTTCAATCCTTTTACAAAGGAGCCAAACACATGTGTTGGAGGAAAGACAGCCTATTTAACAAGTAGTGCTATGAAAACTCATCTGTGTGCAGAAGATTGTAATGAACCTTATTTCACACCATTACTAAGTTAAAATCAAAATGAATCAAAGATCTAAACATTAAAATAGAAACATTGAAATTACTGGAAGATAAAATAAGTAAAAACACATTCAGACATACGTGTATTTTCTAAACAGAACCTCAATTGCACCAGAAATAATAAGAACCAACAAATGGTGTTATAGTAAAAGTTCCTGTACAACAAAAAGAATCGATTAGAGTGAGGAGACAACCTACAGAATGAAAAAAGTTTTCCAGCTATTCAGAGGACTAATATCTAGAATATACAGAAAACTCAAAAAGCCTAAAATTAAAGACCCAGTCAAGAAATGGGCATGAGAAATGAACAGATACTTCACAGAGGAAGAAATACAAATGGTGCTTATCTCAGTTACTCTTCTCTCACTGTTGACACAAATATCTGACACTCAAAATGAATGAAGGAAAGGCTTATTTAGCTCATGGTTACTGGAGGTTTCAGTCCATACTCAGCTGGCTCCAAGGCAAAGCGACACATGCAGTGAGCAGCTTTTCATGGTGGTGGCAAAGAGCAGAGAGCCAAAGAGGGGCCATAGCTCAAGCAGTTAGCTAGGCTCTTATCCCTCCTTACATTATACTATAAATTGCCTGCCTCAGGGTAGATACAGCATCCACACCCACAATAATCAACCACAAACTCCAGAAACTGCCCTCTCACTGCATGAGGCTTTGAGAGGACAACTAGGCACAAACCATAACAGTCCTCAAACATGAAAAAATGTTCAAGATCTTTGGTTGTTACAGAAATGTAAATTAAAACACTAAGATTATAGGAAGAATGGTAGTCATTAAGAAATCAAAATAACAAATACTGGCAAGGCTCTAGTGGAAAAGGAACTTTTCTTCATTGTTGCTGCAAATTAAACTGGAAATAAGTATGAAAGTTTGTCAAAAAACTGAAATGAGAAATTCTATATGACCCTACAATCCCAGCTAGATATCTTCCGCAAAGAGCTTAAAACATCACCCTACTGTTATACATATAACCAGTGTTTACAGCAGCACAACTTGTAATAGCTAAATCCTAGAAATAGCCTGTATAACCATCAGCAGATAAGTGTATAAAAAATATGGTATCTATAATGGAATACTACCCTGCTATAAAGAATGACATATATGAGGCACTTATAGGAAAATAGAAAAATGTTGAGTAAAATCAAACAGACATGAAAGCTTAAATACCACGTGGTAACTCTCATTTAAGTGAGGCAAAGTATAAACAAAGAGAATAATAAAGAACAGATAGAAGGGGACAAGGCGATATATCTCTTGGAATACAGAAGTGGTCCAATGGCAAAAGTGCAAGGGGTGAAGAGGAGGGGAAAGAAAAACAAGTTAAACAAAGATAGTCTATGTACAGGAACTAAGAACTTCAATTAATGTAAACATTATAGGCCATAACA